AAAAAAAAAAAAAGAAATGAGTATAATTGTGATGGATGTTACTTGGTTCAGTGTAAGCATTTCACAGTGTATATCGAAGCAGTACCCTGACCCCCATAAATGCATCAATGTACAAAGTTATGATTTAATAAAAAATAATTTAAGAAAAAAGAAAAAAGACAGAGATTGAGGTTACTTTTCCATACCTCCAATGTGATCTGAAGAGTGAACGTTATAGATTATCTGTATTGGAATAGAAAGCAGTAGGAACCTATGTATTGGAGTTTGGGTTAGGATAGGAACAAAATATTTTATCTTTGGCCCCTAAGATGCTGGATTTATCCCTGGGAAATTGTCACCTGGCATGCAAGTGCCACCGTGCTTTACAGGCATGGGTGAGCAGTTAAGTCTCAAAGAAAACTGAGGTATCTGAAGTTTAGTTGTTTTCTTAGTAGCTGTATGTGGCAGAAAAGATCATTCTTTCTGGAATATAATTCTCAGTGAGGTTAGAAGCATGATGCCTTTCCTTGTTCTGTCTAGCTGATGATACCTGTAGGCAGAGATGTCAGCTAGACAAAGAACACCATTGTCTTGGCAAAGCACAGCACCCCCTGGCCTCTGTACCCTGCTAGTCCGGGGCCACCTGTAAAGCAGACTCTCCCTTGGCACAGTCTGAATTCTCCAAAGCCACTTGGTCCCTGTTCATTTGCTTGTCCAGTCAAGCTGATCTTCTGCCAGAATCTGGTCTTTTCTTTACTCTACAGGGAAGACGACTAGAGAAGAGCTGGATGGGGCTCATGTCTCTCAGTTTCTAGGTCAGAATAGGAGCACAGGTTCCCTGGTGATGAGAAATTCTTTGCTTACCCTCTCAGTATTCCTGACACCTCTGCCATGTTCGTTTGCTGTAGCCTGGCGCTTCTGGTGCAGCTTAGAGGCGTGGGGCGCATGGGACACACATGCTGTAATAGATGATGCTTGGGTCGGGGGAGATACTGTCACTCCGTGTCCTTCTAAGCAGCCTGTTGCTTGCCAGGCTATCTGATGCTCTCCAGGAGCCTCCGTGGTGTTAATGAGGAACGAGGGCCACGTCAGGACGAGACAGATGGAGACCTGGCTCCTTTTGATAAAGAGGACTCATGTTGTTAATTGTCACATGGGCATTCTTCTTTCCCTTTGTACCCTATCTTTTGCCATTTTAATTTATCTGAAACTCTCTTCCCAAGATCCTTTTAATAAGGCCAGAAAACTGTATATCTTTATATGCATATCACAAAATTTGGAATTTGTGATATAACCACACAAAATTATGCTGTTTTTTTTCTTTCTTTTTTTTTTTTTTTAGAAACAGAGTCTCACTTTATTGCCCTCGGTAGAGTGCTCTGGCATCACAGCTCACAGCAACCTCTAGCTCTTGGGCTTAGGCGATTCTCCTGCCTCAGCCTCCCAAGCTGGGACTACAGGTGCCTGCCACAACGCCCGGCTGTTTTTGGTTGCAGTTTGGCCAGGGCCGGCCACCCGTGGTATGTGGGGCCGGAGCCCTACTCACTGAGCCACAGGCACCGCCCAATTATGCTGTTTTCTTTACTGTGCATCTTAGAAAGTTCCCTCCTTCTACTCATGTTCCTTCCTGCTAAGAGTAAAGATATGTGTGTGTGTGTGTGTGTGTGTGTGTGTGTGTTTTATTTCATCTTAATTATAATTATCTTAAAAGCTAGGACCTATTCCATGGAATTTGCTCAGAACCTGATGCGTGGCCTTGTGTACTTTGGTTGTAACAGTAAATAACCATGGTCAGGTGGAGTCTGCGCAAAAGTAGAAGGGTAATTGAGGCAAAAAGAACCAATTTGTGAAAGAAAAAAGTCTTTTCTTTCACAAGAAGTAGTGAAAGACATTTGTAGTACGTTTGTAGTGTAATTTTGTGTCCTCTGGAAAATTAGATCCAAGTAAAAGCCAGGTTAAGTAGGGAGCTGGGATGAGCAGGAAGGAGTCGTTTGAAAATCCAAAGCCTACTTCCCAAAATAGAATTAAGTAACCAAAGCAATCAGATATAAGACACTGGATTGTCTATAAAGTATTATTTTTTCCTGGTATAATAAAGAACTTGGGCAAAAGAAGGGAACATGGTTTTTAAAGTCATTGTTATGTTGACGATTGATAAAGAGAGAAACAATTAAGTGACTAGAAAATGGAAATTCCAGGCCTCCTCTGGTTTCAAGCTGCCAAGAGATGTTGGGCTAAGTGGCTCTCTCTGGTTGACCCTGGATAGATGGAATGAGTAACTTTTTCCCCAGAAAGGAAGGTGCTCTGCTCCACCCAGGCCTGCTGACTCAGTCTCCCCGGCAGGAATCCTGCTGTCCTGCACACAGGGTTCTCACAGGAGACGCCCTAAATCCTCTCTGCTGCTTCCTTCCATCTCTCAGTTTCGTGGGATTTTTTTGGTTTTGCTTTTGTGTTTGTTTTGCTTCAAGCACACTTATGTCTGTGCAGTTCTTAATTTCCTCTCCTCCTGGGAAATTTCCACTGTGCCAGGAGGCTGGGAGACAAAGGAAATAAGGCTCAACGAGTCACAAGGATGTCAGTTCAGTGCCCCAGAGAAGTGCAGGCTGGCTGGCTTTTCTCTGGGGTTTGCTTTTGAAGTAAAGTTATCCTTTTCATTTTATTTCATCTGTGTTAATGGAAAGATCATTTGGAGATTGTTTGCTGTTTACTCAGTTACGCTAACTCGTATTGCCAGTTTTTTGGCGGCTTCAGCCAAGATCTCTCGCCTCTGACAGCTTCTGCACTCTCTCCTTCCTCCTCTGATTACGCAGCCCAATCTGTCACCCGGACAACGGGGGCCTGTACCCTGCTGATGGCTTTCCACACACAGCAATAA